ATTCGGAATGCGTCCGCGCACTTAATTTTGTTAGATTCTTTGATCCATTTTTTGGAATAGGCAAAAATCGAAGACGAGCCAAAACACGTCCAAGCAAAACAGCTGTCAAAGATAAACTGAATATTCAAAATGGCCGAACTTGTCGGCATAAGTGAGGGACATGAGTACCAACATAACGCCATAAAAAAATCGAAAATCGAATATATGTAACCCGCGGAAATTCAAAATTCGCGATATTTTTTGAACAGACCTCGTATGTTAAGTAAAATTCGACCGAATTATTTTACACGTGTGTCATTTATTTTCGGAGAAAATGGAGAATTCATAAGACGGCAAAGTATTCTAGTATTCTTGTCGTTTCCGCATACCGATGTTAAACACATCGATAAATTACTTTTCAACACGGAGTGTCCAAAAGTCAGTGTATTTCTGTAAAATTGTGTGAATTCAAGAGGAATGACTCGATATATAAATATTAGTTTGTTTTTACACACAAGTGAATTTTGAAATCATCCAAAATGTGTCGTGCGATGCAACTAAATAATTTGAATGACTTGCAGGGACATTGATGGAATATTGTCGAAAGTGTCAATTAAAGTTCCGATATTTTTGTATGTAATTCTTTTCTACTTGCGAATATAATTTTCGCGTAAAGTAAATAGTAATCGCACTATTAAGCCTTTCAAGATTCACCTGATTTCATAAAAAAAAAAAAAACAGTGATTTTTGGGACGATCCGAACAGGTGATTTCTATCTTTATTCATATATTTATATGATTTATTTACGAATACAATTTATTGTCGACGAAATGCGTCTGATGTTGCAACGCGAATCCTTATTCAGTGTTTTGGATACAGCAGTTTGCATTTTCCAATTCGTCGAGTGAAGTGGGTACACATTCGGGCAACGTTGCGTCTCTCGCATCACTCTAGAAGTAATTATAACAGGTCAGGTTATTTCTTGCGGGGTCGACGCGACTTCTCTCGCTCTCAACGCGCAATGAGAAAGCCACGAAAGCCAACGTATATGCGGATGTACTTAGCTATTTCCGCGATACAGAATTAGGTCGAAAGGAGATACGAAAGCCCGTAAAGTCTTCCAACCTCGTGCGGAGACGCGAGCTTTTCGCATTTTACGCACCCAGTGGGCAAAATTTACGCGAGGACAAATCGTGAAAAATATTGTTGTCTTCGTTGAATCGCCGTCAGTCCTTGAACAAGAGTATCGCGCGAGTGTGTGTTTGTCTCGAGGTTACTTTGTTGGATCACGCTGGTACAGACGCAAATAGAATGAATCTTCATAGTTCCAAATTCCTCCAAAGTCGGATCTCACCGTAATTTCCGAAGGAACGTAGCATGACAATTTTTACTTCCAGGCAATGTGAATCTCAGCAAATGGAAATCATGTCAATGTCGCTTCATCGCTCTGTCCAATTGTTATGTCTTTCTTCTGTCGTTACTATTACTATATTGCGTTATTATTATTATAAACCTTATGCTGTTTAACAAAAATTCATATCAACGTTATATAACATGTTAAACTTTTCAGTGCTATGGATGCATAAATGCATCAGGCAAATGCGGTATTTGTCGGTATCTAGATAAAATTATTTAAATAATCATCCAGATGAATGAATAGATCATCTTTATCTAGATGGAAGAAATACAAAATATATTCGTCTTTGTCTTAGATTAAAAATATTTTGCCTCATCTAAAAATGATCTGAAATGATGTTATGGTCCATATTTTGAACTCACTTTTCAATCAAATGAATGAAATAATATGAACCTATGCGTTAAGCCTGTATCAGACTAGAGAGATTAGATTTCAATGAATCAACAAATTTCGTTTTTGTCTCTTTTGGTCTGATCTTTTTAGCTGCATCAGTTCAGCGGTGCAACTAAAAAGAACAGACCATTTGTTTCAATTGATCAATCCACTTTAAGCCCGTATCAAACTGTCGACTGTGAAGGCCTACCCGATTGCCGATTACGACTGTCAACTCTTAATGGATTAATTACAATAAACTAGTTACATGACGCTTCACTATGATAAGCCCTTCAAGAGTCGACGTTCGTAATCGCCAGTCAGATCGGCCTTCACAATTAATAGTTTGATATGGGCTTTATAGAAGAAGACTGAAATAATGACTGTGTTCAGAAAACACAGCGATTAGTGAGCAGTCAATGATTATTGATTTTTCTTGCTAGATCTTTAAATTTCGAGCGAATACGTTGACAAATTATTTAACCGTTATGCAATTTTATGATCCGCATAATTTGTATTATACATTTTCATAAAGTCTCTCATAAAAACAATATCATCTGAAAAATTATCTAGATAAGTAGCGCTACTTATCTTTCACCTAGATAAATTAAAAACAAAATCATCTTCATCTCATCTAAGATGAATTTTTCGGATCTTTATCTCATCTTAATTTTAATGAATCTGAAATCATCCAAGACAAACACTGTCTATAATTAATCAGAATTCGCTATCTAATAGTGGAAATATTTTAAGAAGGGCCATAATACCATTTTCTTTTCTATCTCGAAAGTAAGCAAAACCACTTTCAAGCACTGATCTTCGATTTTTGTTCGTAGGTCGCCAGTTGGACGGAATATGGCACACAGCGATCGTTACGTACGGAAGGGAATATTTCTTTGGTCCGGCCGGTATACAGAGCGTCCGACCTGTAAGTATCCCGTTTCATTAACGATTAATGTTGTTCCACTGATCTCTTGCTTGTGTGTCAACTGATGATTGTTTGTCAGCACTGTTTACGTTCTCACGAAATGCTAAACAAACGCAAAGTTTTGTCAGTAATGCTGTGACGTATTCGCTACATACTCTCGTTTTCTTTCCTCCTCGCAAATACATGGTCCGGAAAGTATCCGACTTTGTGCTGTAGCAGGAGAAAAAGTTAATTCTAGTCAATGGCGATGATGTCACCTTCAAAGTACTCCCCTTTGGAAGCCACAACTTTCTTCTAGCGATCCTGCTACTTTCGGAAGCACTCCTTATATTCAACTTACGGAATAAGTAACAGCTGCTTCGTCGCATTCCTTTTTATTTCCTCTACGTCGTCAAATCTTCTTCCTTTTAGAGGATTTTTCAATTTGAGGAACAGCCAGAAGTCGCAGGGAGCCAGGTCAGAATTGTACAGGGGCTGACGTAGTTGAACAATTCCGTGTTTCATTAGAAATTGCTGGATAAGTTGCGATGAATGGATAGGTGTGTTGTGACGAAGCACCTAGTCACCACTTTCTCACAAATCAGGCCGTTTTCTTCTCACTGCGTCATGTAATCGCTTCAGAACTTCTCGGTAATACTCTTTGTTCATCGTCTGACTTTTTGGAGCATATTCATGATGAACAACACTTTTCTCGTCGAAAAAACAGTGAACATTATTTACTTGATGTTGCTCCGATTCTGGCGCGCTTTCTTAGGTCGTTGCTCTTCGGACGTCTTCCACTGTGAATATTGGGCTTCTGTCTTAGAGTCATAACCATAAACTCATCAGCCCCAATAATAATTCTTTTTAACATTTCCGGGTTGTTTCCAATTGTTTCCAAATTGTCTTAGACGACTTCCATTCGATAATTCTTTTGCTCTTCCGTCAGCAGCCGTGGAACGAATTTTACAGCAACGCGGCTCATCTTTAAATCTTGACTCAAAATTTCCAAAACTATAGTTTTTGGAATCCCGAAGTCTTCTTCTATCTCTCGCACTCGCACTGTCAAATGATTTTGATTGATTAAAACTCGAACTCGTTCCATATTTTTGGGAGTTTTTATCGCTGTGGGCCTGTCAGCACGAGGATCACTTTCAACTGAAATACGACCACCTTTAAATTGCCTAAACCACTCTTTAATCTGAGTATCACTCATAGATTCTTCGCCATATATTTTACGAATCATTATGATGGTTCCGAACAAAAATGGCCAAGTTTCTGGCAAAATTTATTGCAAACTCTTTGTTGCGTTCGGTCATCGTGAAATGCGACGCGTACGAGGTTTGACGTCTACACAACAGCGTACCGTTGCCAACTGAACAGCTGTTACGTCGTGGTGTTTGGTGGGAGTATTCGCGAAGGTTCCCACTAAATAGAGATTTCCTTTTGTTGACAATAGCACATCTAGATACAAAGTTACAGCACAAGGTCCGATACATTCCGGACAGACCTCATATATTCTAAGACGATAGAACATATAGAGTAGAAACGTTAGATGCCTTATTTTGTGATACTCGGCCAGTATCAACAACGTATTAATCACTTGAGCGATATGCGTGCAATAATGCGTTCCAATGTCTGTCTCATGAGTGGCACGCACTATTGTGCACTTTTGCGTTAGAAAGAACTCGCCTCGTTTCTTCGCTAAAAATGTATTATTTAATTTAAAGTCACTTTTATGTTTTAAAGTCAATCTTATGTTTTCGATGACAGAAAAAAACATGAATATCAGACTAAAAGTTAATAAGAAGTGCTTTTTCCAACATCTTATTCAGACAAAATAACTGATGATAAGAGCGGTTCTTAAATGCGACCGAGCAAACACCAATTAATAGTAATATAATATCAATATTATTATTTTCCATTCAACGATATAAATGCAATGTAATGCGCATGTTATATAACAGTTATGTAACAGTTACATTATTGAGCGAGAAATTGTAACATTGATGTTATGTCATTGTTAGTTGGTGTTAGTTGTTTACTAGAGATGTAAGTTCTTCTTGAGTTAAAATTGGATTTTCTTTCAATAATCTTTGCATATCAGTGCTTTTATACTTCCGAGAATAACCTGAACCTGAACGTTGTTAATCATCCAGGTTAAAGGCATTTTTTAAGAGGTAACAAGACCTTTGCTCGCGGAAAAATATGCATCCCCTAAAATGCTAATTATTCATCGAATGAATAAATAAAGGATGAATAGATAAAAAAATGATTATACATATGTACATACTTATGTATGTACATACTTATATATATGTAAACATTTCTTTGAATCGAATGAAATTTATTTCTCAACATAGTCTCCTTTCCACTCAATACACTTGGTCTAACGTTTTTTTAGACTTCTCATTCTCTTAGTATAATATTAGGTGTACAAATGAATAATCCAAGTGTTTTTAAGCAGTTAAGAAATTAATTTTAAAATCAATTGATTTTCCCGCTCTTTTGTGGTTATTCCCACTCTCTTATGTAGTGTTGACATATAACTATTAACAATTCAGTTCAGAAGAGTCAAACATGGAAACAGATAAGATACATATCCGATTCTTTATGATAATTCCAATAAGGAAAAAATGCTACAAGAGCATGCGAATCGATTTGTCCTTTTCTCGGCAAAGATGTTGTATCGTACGATGTGTGCGCATTTTTGTTTAAACGATTTAAAAGAGGTGATTTCAGTCTGATCGACAAACATCCTGGAGGTCCTCGAAAATATGACAACGATGATTTGGAACAACTGCCCGCTGAGAATTCGGCACAAACGCAAAAGGAGCTTATAGAATATAGAATAGTTGGAGCTTATAGAATAGTTGGGAGTCCCGCAGCAAACCGTTTCCAAACGCCTACATGAAATGGGTAGGATCCAAAAAGAAGGAAAATAGGTTCCGCATGAACTCACTGAAGCCAACAAAAATCATCGAGTGGCAGCATGTCCTTCCTCTTCTCAAGAAGCAGCGTTGAAAGTCTCTTTTGTGGAAAATCGTTACGAACGGTGAGAGATGGATACTTTATGACAATCCGAAACGCAGAAAGTCATAGGTAAATCCCGACGAACCATCAACATCGGTCGCAAAGCCTAATCGCTTCAGAAAAAAATTCTGCTCTGCATTTGGTGGGATATGAAGGGCGTGCTCTATTATGAGCTGCCGGGTAAAACAGTTACTGCGGATTATTACCAACGCCAATTAATTCGCTTGAGTCAAGAATTGGAACAGAAACGCCCGTATACTGGCAAAGAACGTCTTGTCAAATTGTTGCATGACAACGCCAGGCTACACATTGTTTCCAAGACAAAAAATACCATAATGAATCTTGGCTGAGACGTCTTGCAACACCCGGCGTATTCACCAGATATTGCTCCATCCGATTATCACTTGTTCCGGTCGATGCAACACGCCTTATCCGATACTCACCAATCAGTGGATGAGATCCGAAAATGGTTTGACGACTTTATCGTGTCCAAAGACACAGCATTTTTCCGAGATGGAATTCGTCAGCTGCCTGAAAGATGGCTTAAAGATATAGAAAGCAACGGCGAATACTTTGATTGAAAAATTCGTTTGACTTTCTTTTAAAATAAATCTCGAATTTAGCTGAAAATTTTGGATTATTCATTTGTACGCCTAATAAATTTTGTCTAAAAATAACTCGAAAAATAGTTATCAACGACACTTATCGCTTCAGCATCCGACGAAAATTTTTCCTTAGATAGCCATTTTTTAAAATTTGGAAGCAGAAAAAAATCGAACAGGGCCAAATCTGAAGAGTACAGTGGATGTATAATTAATTCGTACGTTAGTTTGTACAATTTCGCAATCGCAACTGCTGATGGTGAGTCCATACATTGTCTTGGTGAAAAAGGATTTTCTTTCTGGCCAAATGCGGACGTTTGTTCTTGACTTCCATGTCCAAACGTTATAATAATCCAGCCATAATATTCTCCGGTGATTATTTTACCTTTTTCCAGATAGTCCACAAAAATTATACCATGGGAATTCCAGAAAACTGTGGTCATCACCTTGCCAGCCGACAGAGAACTGCTTTTATCTTTTTCGGAATCGGTTCGTCTTTTGCAGTCTGCTTTGACTATCCTTTTGTCTCCGGAGTGTAGTGGTGGACTCAAGTTTCGTTGACAGTAATGAAACGCCGTGAAAAATCATTTTCATTGGGCTTGAAACGCTCGAGACACGATCGTGAAATATCCAACCGATCTCGTTTTTGATCAACGGTGAGCAAATGCTGCACCCAACGCGCGCTCAGTTTTCTCACATCTAATTCCTTATATAAAATGTGCGTCCGTTCGTTTGAGATACTAGCGGTCTTTAATATCTCTGTCAAAAGATGTAATCGATCATTTCATCCGTTGTTGCGGTTTTTGGTCGTCCAGAGCATTCCTCGTCGAAAATGTTCGTTCTTCCATGTTTGAACTCAGTAGCCCAGGTTTTCACGTTCGTAAATGAAGGAACAGCATCTCCGTACACTGAATCTAATTCAGCTTTAATTTCAGTAAAAATGTTCCGTTTCAAATGAAGGAATTTTATCACGGCGCGATACTTCATTTCCTTCATTGTTGACAAACTGTCGCACAGAAAGCTGTCAGAAACAATCTAATCGCTAAAATGACATCAAACTTAGTTCTTTGTGTTTCTTTCAGTATCATCTATCAGACAAGTATTGAAATTTCACTGAACTTTTGCTCTTTCTTGGTCAAGTCGATAACTTTTCCTTCGTATACTCTCTCTTTCTCTCTCTCATTGGTCTCTCTCACACGGATAGATGGAGCGTCTCTGTGTGCGAAGTGAAGGAGGAAGGACGCCAGCGTATGCGGGCTTGAAATCGCGGCACTGAGTATACGCATTATGAATGACAGATATTCAGTACTGGTAATGGTATGCAGAACGCAGCTTACATATTATAGATAGCTACACGAAGTAGCTAGCGAAGTAGCTATATATTTGACGCGGCAACAGTATCGTGTGTCGTAGCTGTCAATGTGTGAAATATTAACATAACCAATCGAAAAAGCAGAATAAGATCATCCAGCGAGAGTGACAGCTTACTGGAATGGAGAATACATACGCAATGTATGTTTAATATAATAAATATGCTATATGCATCTAAAATGACATGCGCTGGTCATAAAAAAATGTCTTCGAATAAGATTTACATTTCCAAATGCTGTATAAAAATAATATAAAATATTAGAGGTGTGTTCGTTAATGTTGCGGATTCGTCTTCCTGAAGGTTCGGCTAACGATGCCTTCCTCTAGCGTCGCGTGGTTGCCTGATCTTCAGGCGCGAGCTCTCTCGTAAGCAGCAACATGCGTCTTTCTCGCGAGTGGGCCGCTCCGCCTCGTAATTGCCGCGGTTCCCGCGGTGCGGCGACGCGCCGACTGTCTCGCTCGCGAGAGAATTTGCTCCCGCGAGGATATATCTACGGGCGCTCCAATTAAGTCCCAAATTTAAGACAAATGGTTTATACCGTGCTGTATGAAGCATTTTTTATCAAATATTAGTACTGTAATGTTTATAATGAATAATGCACACACAAACTATAAAATTTGTTACCTACTGTGTAAAAATATAATAGCAATATATATATAGTGCAAATTAGTTCGGTATCTTTTTGTCATGAAAATCAAAGTTCATTTGCAAAAAGTCAATCACAAGTTTAATGTTCAAAATAATTTCCATCATTAAAATATCGGAATAAAAAATAAAAAAAATCTCGAAAAGTATTCATTTTTCGATTACCTTTTAATCCTGGTACTTTTATACGCTGAATGAACAAAGGGAATCGAATTGTGTTGAAAAAACTGTAT